TATAACTCAGAGAGTTAATGATTTTACATAAATGAGTTTGAATAATATTTAAAATTTATCAGATTTCCAGCCACAATTTTGTTGAATTTTTCGGATTTCAATTACATTTTTTTAAACTCTGTTAGCACCCTTAACATTTTTTTTGTACGTAAATCAAAATAAAGGGGTGCTCCAAAAAAAAATTAGATGCCGATCTTTTTAAGGACCACCCTAATATGTATTGATACATACATATGTAAGTCTAAAGTTTAAAAGAAGATATACTTAATTTGTATAGAGTTCAACGCAAATGGCATGAAGTCTTCTATTCAATTATGCGTTATTCGCTATTCCCGCTAATTTCATATTTCAATAAATACTTGACTTTGTGTTTTTATTTAAAGATTTTTCAAGGAATTATGCGTTACATTTAATCAGACTTAAACAGTTTTTTTCTCCAGTACTCAATACTGTCCATACAAAGTATTTCAAGTGCGTATACATACATATACATACGTATGAACTATTCAGATGTCTTACCCTGCAGTGCGCAAGTATCCCCATGAAATAAAGTTCCACGTTCAGAGATAGTATCTAACAGAACAACACTTGGACTGTTAAGTGGCCTATGTCTCTAATCCTTTTCTAATACATGTCTTATTCTTACTAAAGTAAATAGTAACGACTACTGCAGTTAGTCGTAAGGATTCGACATGGATCAGACAAGGACATGAGCCATTTGGCGGGCAGTAGAAAAAGTTTTTATTTTTCGAGTTTTGAATTGTGACGTTATTGCACAGGACCATCGATTAGTCTGTTTGAGCAAATCTCCAGTCAAAAATATCCAGCAGCATTTGGAGAAGAGTAACGAACGATTATCTCTCAAATTAAAAAGAAAAATATCTCAAAAAATACGCGAACGCAAAATTAGCAAAAACTTGTTTACATACAAAAGTGTGAAACTGAAAACACGAAAAGAATATAAATTTAAGGTTTGGCTAAAGTTATTTGCTAAGCAAACGTAAGTAAATGAGTATTTGCTTTATTCCGAAACATTTGCCTGAACTGCAAGTTATTTTTAACATAAAAATCATCCAAATAAATTTCATAATTTTCATAGATTGCAACCAGTTGACTTTGATAAGCTGTTTTTCTTGCTGGCAAATTGCTGCTGGTAAAAATTTTTCCAGCAGGAATTAGCAACTTCACCTCCAAGTCAACTGTCAACTGTTACCTACTTTGCAAGTTTTTTGCCTACGCGAACCCCAAAACCCGATAATTTGCAATAATTACCAGCTTATCGAACCGTCTAGATATGTACATACATACATATATTTTTTTTTTCATACGTTTGCCGTTGTGTTTAATTGGCTGTCATTATGTTATCCCAAATTAGAATTTGTGCTTATCAATCATACACTAATCTACTTGCTTCACATACTTATGCACAGCCGTACCGGCATATATACATTTTACAGTCCCGGTAAAAATAGTATCACATGTCATTATACTGTAACCTCGTTGTGTTTAAGCGGGTCTCTGCACACATAGGGCACTGCTTCACAGAACGGGATTCGAACCTGGATCCGCTGAGTTGCAGCAATATCCAATCGGCTACCACGAACCCTCCACTAAAATTCCTTGTATGCTTCGTTTATTTTTCATTCATAATTGACAACCGCTGGCCGTTTTCGTCAATGTTGTCTTCGAAAATGCCCCCAATCCGCATTAATTTTGAGATTTGACCCTGGGAATTGATCTTAATAAATAGCAGTTAAACTGGATCAAAGCTTCTTATGTATGTCTATGATTTTAGCCTGCCAGCTTTTTAAAAAAGGAATTTGAAGATCAGCAAAGCAGCGCTATTTCTTTTTATCATCCATATACATATGTATGCATATATGTACATACATACATCGTTTTTCTGGTATTCCTTTTTAACTTTGCGGTTTTCTTTTCTCCATCTTCTTTGTTGGTTTTATCTGAATTGATCAATGGATCGTTTTGTTTCTGGTTATGATTTAGCATCCATTGTGCTGATCTTATCAATTTTATGCCTTTCAATGTTACCTGAATTCTCGTCGGTTTTGACATATTGATTCGTTCTGTATCTGTCAATTGGTAGTTTATTAATTGTATGAGTTAATGTATGCTAATTAAGCAAGATAACGAAACTAATTGAACAGATGGAAACCGAAAAAATGAGAGTGAATCTGTTAAGAAGTTTTTTATGTATACATACATACAGCACCTGCCTGCTGCCTTAGCTGAGTTTCTTTTGACGTAACCTGTTGGATCATGGTTCGAATGAATGGTGTTGTATATTGATGAGAAACTATTTTAGATTTAAAATAAATAGCTTCTACTTATACCTAGCAAGGTGTAATTTTTTTAATTTACAAATTTTTTTTTTTTTTTTTTTTTATGACACACATTCAAAAGTAGGCTCGTGCTGTTACAAGATATACAGTTTTATATGGAGAAACTATAGAAAATTTCTCAAATCCAGATATCGTTTGCAAATAAAGCAATACAGCTGACTATAAATATACAACTTAACAGCTGATAGTTTAAACTCGGTTTAACCCAGCCAGATTGGGCGTTTAAGTTTAGTTTAAGCTCAGTTTAAATTTGACTGAAAAACTGCAGACAGAGTTCAAACTTAGTTTAAATGACAAACATAGTTAAACTCGCACTGAAAAACTGGCCCTACTATAGATTGCAGTTCGTTTCTAAAGTCTTTTGTTTTCACTCATCGCAATATTTTGCAAACGACTGGGATTGGGATTGGGATTGGGATGCTTTTGGACGTATAAATTATTTTTGTGCATGCACTGTACGCTGCAAGTTGCGGAGTAAATAGAATATTTAAGTACATTTGTTTACACTAGGGTTGACACAACAAAATGACAATTCCAATAATTCAAATGATTACAAAAAACCACGCTGACTGTGTGGTTAGAGGTTCGTACTAACACTCCGTAGGGCCTTGGTTCGATCCCATAAATCCATTTGCCTTTCAGAGGCGGCATAAAACTGTAGGTCCCTCAAATTGTGTAACAACGACAACAACATCAAGACGCACACCATAAATTGGAGGAGATGCTCGGCTAAACGCTTAGCACAATAGTTAAAGCAGTCATAAGGCAGTGTCACACGGTTGGTACATTTGTACAGATATGTCTATTTTTTATATTGGGCTATTGGTAAAAATAAAACAATTGGGACGACAATTTTATTTTATTTTTTTGTAGTCACACGAACTTCTCGGGCAATTTGTCGAATGGGTGGGTGGGTACTATTTATTTTTTGATATGAGGAAAAAATAGAGCAGAATTAAACCAGAATTTCAATTGTTAATAAAAATTCATTTATTGGTTTTGTTAAAAAAAAATTATTTTTTTTCTGAATTTAATTGCATCAAAGTCTATAAATTTTTTGTCAGTTAAATTTGTACTTGAAACATATGACCCAACGAAAACTTTAAGAAATCATTTTTTCCAAGGGGGCGCAAATTGGATACAATCGCATATGCAATTTTACAGTGGTGCTTATTAGCATATTGGTAGGCACCTATGTACCTGCATACATTCATATGTACATATGTATGTATAAATGTATGTGTACCCATATGCGCAATAGATATGGTGCTGCGTGAAAACGTTTAAAAGCTGCTTCGCTTCAACCTCATTTTCCGAGGCAAACGACAATTGTGCAAAGTTATTTTAACCACGTTGAACACATTGGTTAAAAAATATTAAATTACTACATCGTTTGATAGTAATAGACGAATTCTAAGAAATAAAACTGTTATAATATTTTCAATTTACAAAAATGTAATTGCAACCAGGTCACAAATTGTATATACATATAGTAGATACATATATTATCAAAAATTTTAATACTAAATACCAAAGTGCCAAAGAGCATTACCTGCCTCATATTTTAAACATTTGCTTAGTGAAATTACGCGCAAAAAATTCGGTCGATTTGCATCGATTCCTTCTACAAATTAAAAGTAAATATTTCAAGCTACCTCCGCATCACCAGCTGACATGCAAAAAGCCGTAACTGACAAAAATCGCTTAGTGTAAAACGATGACGAAAATGCATCATAACCAGGGCCGAAGAAAATTAGCACGAAAAAATCAATTTTAAGCGCTTAGATAAGCATTAAAACATTGGGAAATATGCTTGCAAATATGCTCGCAAAGTAAAAGCAAAAAAATTAAGTACAGTTTAATGTTTTCTTTTTTATTCGGTTTATTTCAAGAATTGAAAAACTCCTATGGACATACAAGTGTTGCTTGATATTAAATATTAAATAACGGAGATCTGCGTTGGTCGTTTAAATTTTTTTAAATATTCGTTATTCTCCATTTGAGATAAATTATGTAAATCTCTTCAATAACAGCAATGCCTTCCCGTAGAGACGAACCATTGGTTTTCAATTTTTGTATCCACGCAGAAATGAAATTGAAGTTAGATGTTAATAAAAACCAAATCTGTTTATAAAACGATTTTTTAACAAGACACCCAGGGCTAGGCAACGAACGCAAGCGCGTCGCCGAACCATTATTTAGATTTAATAAATGCTAATGGCGTAATTTCGTAATGGACGGAGATAATTAGCGAAGTTAGTTGGTTTCACCCCAAATGAAAAAATAGGTAGAAACTAATGATGGTTTGTTCTTGCATTTTCATGACAAGAACTTTTTGCCAACTTTCCTGGTACTCAAGTATCAAATCGTAACCGAATGACATTTCACACCCTGCAAAAGCAAAGAGGCTGCTGGCTGTTCTTGGTTGTATTGATTTTACATTCAATCTTCAGATTTAAGTATTTTGGAGTAGTCATACAAAAAATTTTTGAATATACATATATATGTATGCATGTGCATATGGGTAAATTAATTCTAAACTAAATATAAATGTAAACTTGTACAATACGTACATATGTACATATATAGTATATATGCAGTTGAATATGAAAAATAAAAAAAAAACTCGCATTTACTTACCCAATGCAATTGTAAGATTTGTGCGTTGTTTTTAAACTTTGCTCCGTTTTTTGTAACATTTTTTTATTTTCAGTATAGAATAGTAGCTTCATTATTCATTTATGTGCTTATGTGAATGGAATCGTACTATGTATTAAGAAATGATAATTTATTGATCACTTTTTTTATTGGTATCTTAAGTTCATTTGAATTGACGACAATCTGTTGCACAAATTTGTATAGTATTTATTATTTAATATCTTTTTTTTTATTTATCCTTGCTCACATATGGAAATACAGTTTACACCTTTGTAGGCACAGTTCTAAAACAATATGAGAGATTAAGTAAACATTCCAAACTTATCAAAAAACGACACGCCTTCCTATTCAAAAATAGAACTATATACAAACTTTGCGGTGATATATCAATAGCGTTTTGCAGTGTAAATGAAGCAACGTTCAGTTATTTTTTAAATGTTCATTTAACACGACAGCATCATTTTATATTAACTGGAACACATTTGTATTTCTGTTAATTTTTTTTTTCTAAAAAATTGTCAACTAAATTAATCTTGCGTATTTCTCTGAACCTTCCAGATAATTCAATATTATAGTACATATGCATATGTGCAAATGCTATATATGTATGTACATATATTATGTAAACTTCAATTCTAAGTAAACTACACCAAATTTAAATCGTTCGATTTATGTACATTGGGGTGGTCCTTAAACTATCAACATTATGGGGCACCCCTTATTTTGTTCTGCGTATAAAATTAAGTACATCCACAAAAAAATTTATTTAGGAGGCACTGAGAGGGTTTAAAAAATTTGATTTTTTAATCGCCAAAATTCAACAAAATTTTCACGTTGTCCGGTTGAGTTATTACTCGAGAGAGCTTATCTATATACATACATACATATGTATGCATATAAAAATGGATAGTGGTTTGTTCGGATGCTTAAAACTTAAAACGATTGGATACTTCCTTCTGCACAGTCGCGCAATGTTTGTGGCGTAAATCTGGCAATGTCATGCTTTGCACACGGCCAGTTATATGTGGCGTGTTTTCGAGTTGGGAAACCATTCTCACTCTTAATTTACGCTCCGGAGCAGAAAACAAAAAATGTTGTGTAGCAGCTTTATGCCGAATTTCCACTAGGCATTGAAATCACAAAAAATGTATGCTTTTTTAATTTATAGATACTTTTTTAATTTATAGATAAAATATGGTAATATATTATTAACTGCAAAATTGAGTGTACGGTGATTTTTTTTTAATATTCCCGATGTTTGCCATGGAAAATATTTTTTATTAATTTTTTTTTTAAATATGGCTCATGTTTTAACAAACGACATATAAAACCAAGATTCAAAGTTAGTACGAAATTTCTATATTCCCAATCGACTTCACAATCTACTATGCTTAGCTACCAGATGAGCAAACAAAATAAATAGTTCGAAAATTGAAATTTTATTCTTATATTGAAGATTTACAAAATAATTAGCCATTGGTGGGGAAGGCAAACACCGAGTTTAAAAGAAAAAAAAAGATTAACACCTAAATTAAAAAAAAAAAATACTGAAAAAAATCATTAACCAAATTAAAAACCGGCTGTTTGAACCACCGATCTTATTTGAGCATTCCTGTTTCTTTTTTTTTCAACTTGGTTGTTTTTTTTTGTCAGATTTTGGTTGGTTATTTTTATAACAAGTGGCAACCGTGTAAAAGATCTCCGACCCTCACCGAAGATAACAAATAGTATGAATTAATGTTTTCACTGAATTTTTTACTTGTTTCTGTTCTACGTAAACAGCTAATTGACCCGAAAAGCATGCATATGTACACTGAGGGGAAAAAATATTGAAATCAATCAGAAACTTTAGCTCCCAGCAGGTTCGGGCTCGATTGCCGTTAGAGGCAACACACGCTAAATTGTTATATGAAAATATTATTTTTAAATACGAACATTTTTAAACGATGATCAAACATAACGTATTCTGCCTTATCCTGAGTTTCACCCGAAAAAAATTCACCCGAAAATGTATCATCCGCCTATAGTAAACACCAAAAGTGAAAAGTGAACCGGTTCGGGGAAAATGAGTCTCAAGATAAGGCTGATTATAATCATTAATCAAATATAATCAAATTAATTAATTTTTACTATGTATTATTTCCCTCAGTGTATACTCAGTATAATATATCTACTGGACTATCGACATTCCGAAAATATTTAACATAATTAAAAAACAAATTCCTTAGCATCCCCGGGCTTTCATTTCTTGCTTGTGTTATTTTACTAGCCCCTACTCGGGTTTTTTTCAGAACCCACTGAATGAAATAAACACTTATCAGGAGCTTCAAATTTAATTCGCAGAATGATTGGTATTTAGTTTAACGTTCTTAAAAGATTACTGTGCACTATTTTATATGAATTTACATATGTACTACATACATACATATGTACATGCATTGGTTGTTAATATCCCAGCTAGCCAAATCCGGAGCGCTCCGAATATAGAGTGAAAAGGACTCCGAATGTGGAGTGTTTTTTTTTGTGTTATCTTTTTTTTATCTGAGGCTCAATTCTTCTTGTGCGTTATGGTGAAGTGATATAAATAACACTGAATTTTTGACTTTTCCCTGCACTTCACGAACACCCAGAGCAGGAATTGACCCCTTGGTCTGTAAACTAAAAAAAAAAATTTCAATCCAGAAAAAAGTGATCGTCGTTTCCGAATATTCCTGAAAAGGGGCACAGCAAAAAAAAAAACTGTTGACGTTGGGGCAGCTGCAAATGCATTTAGAGGTAAACAATAACGCATAACAAGTAATTTTTAAGCAAAAAAAAAATAAAACCGACTTCAATTCTCATATAAAAATTTAAGATCATCGTTAATTTCGTCATGATCCGATGATCGAATTTAAACCAAATTAATATGGGACCACTTGTAAGGTAACACCTTCACAAAAAGGAGAATGTTATCAATTCATCGGAATATATGTATATATTTTTTATGTATGTTACCGCATAACTTTGGACCACGTCAACCAATTGCGATTATTCATTTTCTATCGGATTTTATCAGTTTTGAGTTATTGAGCTGACTTGATTAACCTTTGAATGTTTTATGTTATACCAAAAATCAGGATTTGAATTGCATAAATGTAAAATTAAGTAGGGTCCGACCGATTAACAGGCATCGGCATCGGCCGTTTTTGGCCGATTATTTTTACTTTTTCCGCACTTTATTCCATGTTATTTATTTTTTATTCCTTTAAAGCTTAAAATATTAATGCATTTGAGTTTCCGTCATACATGTGTTTTCATGTCTCGTTTCTATGATGTACGGTGGCGAGAATGTAAGTAGGGAAGACACATTTTTGCAAGTTTTGGTTACTTTTCTTTGTTTATTTTTTTTAAAGAAAATGAACTTACTATCTAAAAAAAACCGTAAGTCAAAATTTCAAACTTTGTAAAACATAAAAATTCGACGTATTTTAACAAATGTTCATCAAAATTTGAAACTGTTTAACCAGATTTTTTAGAATTTTTTTCAGTAATCCGTCTTTTAAATTTTTGGTATAATAAAGTGCAAGTTTGAAGTATCTAGGACTTACTGTTGATTTTTGGAAATTTTATGTTCACGCATTTTCCTCCAAACATAGTACATATATTGACAATTCTTTTGTATGGAGAAAATCAGCAACACCTTCCCCAAAAAAAAAAATGCCAAAAATCAATGGTAAGTCCTAGCTACCTAAAATTTGCACTTTTAAAATAAAATGGAATGGGCTACAAAACTGCATACTCAGAATGTTTAAAGAAAAAGTTTGAAATTATTACTTACATGGTTTTTGTTAGATAACGAGCTACACTTTCATAAAAAAATAATAACAAACATTAAATAAACGAAAGGGAAATAGCCAAAGAATGCTAAAATGTCGTCACTGTATGTATTGTTACGATCATCCCTCCCGTGTTTTTCACTGGATTGTTAATTTTTTGCGTTACAAAAATAACTTTCATCATTATTTTATCTACGGTTTCTGTTTATTAACAAATTATATTCAATGCAACACATTTAGTCAGCAGAAGCTGCATATTTTTATTACTATGAGTACAATTAGGAAATGTAATTTCGAATGAACTATTTATTTTACATTGAATAAGAAAAAGACTATGGAACAAAGTATTGTAATGATATGAGTGCAAAGGCGATATACTACTTTTAATACATATTTATGTATATACATAAACAAGTGAATAGATTCTTGAATGATTATTTGTTTTGTAATGTTATTTAATTATTTGTTTGTTTTTCTTTTGTTTTTATTATAAAAGTTTATCGAAAACCTTTGTTCTTGAATGAATTTATATTCAGGTAATTTTTTTTTTTCTTTTTTTTGAGGAATCGACATCGGCATCGGCCAAAAATTGGTAATCGGTCGTACTCGGTCTAAGTCTCGTAAAAAAAAAAATTCAAAATTGATTTCCCAAAATTTTCATTTTTACACATTCAGTTTTCTGGCACCCGGGTGACGATATATCGATTGTGCACCCTGCGAACTCCGCTGGTTGGCTGGGTATGTATACAAATCCATATACATGCATCGTACCCTATATCAAAAATAGTCAAAACTCAAAATTAATTTTTTCCCAAAAAAACAGCTCACAGGCCATATTTCTAACATCCACCTAAATTTCTTCTTCATGACTATCTACTTTAACTGGAAAAATGCTAATAACGCTTGCGCGGCATCAACAGTTTGTTGCCTTAATATTTAAGATCTTTTGAGTTGTGACTGTTTTTGATTTAGGATGCGATATGTACATACCTATGTAAATACTCGCACATATTTTTGTATGTAAATTTGTGTTATGTTAGCGCTGTTGCTCTGCTGTCACTGGAAATGTTGTTGGCTATTTATGGAGGAAATCGGTATCGGTATTGTTGTTAACAAGTGTCCGTTGCTGCGAGTGATTTGTCTGTATGTTAAGCTTACAAGTTCGTTCGTACGCATAAATGTATGTATGTATGTGCATTAGGGTGGTCCTCAAAAAATAAAATTAAGGATATTGTTTAGGTCTCACCTCCTCAATCGGTAATACCACTGTCACAGATATCATATATACGGGAAAAAATTAATTTTAATTTTTTGAGTCTCCATAGAGGAGTCTGAATTTTGCCCCCTGTGCGACACGCCTCAACAGTCTCCAATCGGGACCAAAATTTGTAAGAGATATCTTCGACTATAGTCGTATCGACGTTGAGGGTTGAGGCTTAGGCCCTGTCTCCACAGGAAAACACTGATGTCGTGATAACCATATAATAAAATACATTTCCAATGGAGACCGCCTATTTCTCATGGGCTGCAATATGTCAGCGCTTATTGCTTGACATCTATTGCACGCAATTTTTTAGTTTGACAGCCATATTTTCATTAAAAAGAAAACATGCTGATGGTAGCATCGATGAAATTTCGATATTAAATCAAAAAAAAAAATTCCCTATTGGATTATTTATGATTACGTTTTAGGAAATTATTCAGCAAGTTTTTTTTAAAGATTTAAATGTTTCTAAACACCGAAATTGAGATAATGTTGTCTGGTGGCGTCAAGCGGCAAATGCTTATTTGAAGACATCAAAGTGCCCACACACAAAAACTTGCAATCATATTGCTCGTCAAAATGATAGTTGATAGGCCATCGGTGTTTGCCTGTGGCGTTCTGCGTTTACGAAATCTGATGTAAATATTTGCTTCCTACATTTAACTACCACCCTAATGTACATATATACATACGTATCTATACTGTAAGTAATAATAGTTTGCCTAAAATTCAACCACAATTTGTTGAAGCTCAAATTGCAGATGGAGGCAATTAGTTCTACCGGGGACTTATGTATATGTATGTACATACATATCTAATTAGAAAAAATTAACACTTATTTGAGTCTTCACTTCGATTCGGTTCAATTTTCTTCTAAGTATTTAGGTGAAATCACTATAACGACTTTTTCTAGCAAAGCTGTTTGCCAAGTTTCTTCTACACTGCCGTCGGTGCTGTTGTTGACTACCTTGCTGATGTTTTCCCATTTATGCGCATGTTACTAATTTATTGTTGTTGTTGTTTTTTTTTTTTTTGACGTTAACGATTTGTTTCGTACGAGATTTGTTGAGTTGTTTTTGTTTTTTTTTTTGCTTGTTGTATTTGTTGTTGCTGCCAAGATGCTGCAACTTATTTTTTCCCCCGATTAATCGAACTCGCTCTCACATTTTGTTTTTGTTTTGCACTTTTCCACACTACACATTTTACTTTATACAATACACATTTGCTTGCAAATTTATAATTTGCATGTTCTCTGCAATCACTAAAACACTCACTCACTCTTGGCGCTTTTATCTAATTCATTTTTTTATTTTACTTATCAAAAAATACGTATGTATGTATCAGGAATGCACAACAGGTTTATTCGCAGCCTATAACAAGCGAAGTTGTTACAATATCTGTGCTATAACTATATTTCTTACACAGTTCACTAGCGATATGACTTTACCCGACCGTCCAATTGGAAAAACAACACAGCTTGATTACATGAGCCTACAGTTTTATATGATGTTGTTTACAGCGCGCTGTTGCGCTCTCTGACTATGCCAGACTTGCCATCTATTGTTTTCATCCACGTTGTCATCTACATTCTGCAAATTTTTTACATATGGTTTTTGCTGTATTGTTATTGATTACTTAGATAAAACGCAACAGAATATATTTACAGGCCTATTCTACGTTGGCAACAAAAATTTTGTTACCGGTAATTAAAGTTTCTGGTAATTTTTAAACCCTTTTGGTTTTCTGTGCTCTGGTTAATTTTGTTACCATCTCATAACCAGGTAACAAAATATTGACCCGTAAAGTATGCAACCGCAGAATTTATACAAAACTTCATAGCTGAATTGCTGAATAGATTAACTTACTACCAAGGTACTTAGAATTGCGGTCACAAGTGATGTTATTTTTTGGTAACAAAACTTACCGATGTCAAAATGTTCGGTAACAAGTAGAATAGGCTTGTTAATGGGATTAATATAATTTTTCCTTCATAATGTAAGAACACAAAAGTAAAAAAAAACCTATTTATTTCTTTGATTAGTTTGGCATTACAGAAGTCTGTTATCTCTGCAAAGCATCAAGCATGCAACCTTGCGCAAGTGCTGCCACACTGAATTAACCGATGAGTACTTGAAGAGACAATTGGGGTTGATAAAAAAATTTCAGACCTTTTGAAAATGTTGCTGAAGGACAATCCTTGGCCAGTTGTAAATATGCGACCCGACTGATGTGTGAACGGATTAATGAGATAGTTTTTTCCTTTTTTCTTGTACGACAACAACAAGATATTCGCTTAATTGCTTTTTACGGCAATATACTTGTGGCAATGTTAGAAATCTTTGGATAGAGTTGCCATAGCAACCAGTTACATATAAACAAACCAAATGCACTGCATACACTGTTTTACCGTTCAAAAGCACTTCCGCAATAAAACAAACTTGTTACATTATTATAATTAAATAGCAACACAAATATTTCAAATTCAATTCCTGCCATGACCGAATCGCCAACTACAGCCAGTTACTTTAATATATTCATAACAGGGCAAATAGAAGCTATGGAATTCCCTCTGGGCCCAAATGCAGCGGAAGTATTTTGTCGTTACGAAGTCGTTGCTGGCCCCGACTGGGAACTAGTGTCCGGTGTTCAAAATGGAATTTCACAGACTGCATCCAATAAAAGTGGTTACTTCAAGGATAAAATTGTATTTAATTTTCCCTTAGAATGGACTTTTAAGAGCACAACTCCTTTCGGCTGTAAGTTGACATTCGTAGGTGTAGGTGTATGTAATATACGTATGTATGTATGCAAATGTATTTTACTAAATTTTCTCAGGGCCACAATTGATAATTTGCATTTATGGCAAAACTCGTTGGGGAGCGGAAACGGTGCTGGGATACAGTCGTATTAATTTGCCGGTATTTGGGTCACATGCAGACGAACCTATAATAGCACCCATACTCATTCCACGAAACAGTAATATGGTATCCGAGTTAGCTAGTTGGATCACGGGTCGCAATCCTGAACTGAAGGATCCAAAGGCTTTATTAAGCAGCGGAAAATTGAAAGGTGAGTTGCGTCTAAATTACACCGGGATCAAATTCCGAGGAATTTTTTCTCCGGCATCCGGTGGGAAAACCTCATTCGAGTACGCTGAATTCGTATGAACACTGTTGTCATAACTAATGCGCCCAAAAATATGCAAAATATGTATTTCTCAATTGTAATTAAATATGGCTGTTAATTTCTTTTCAAATGTGTGTATAGTTTCCTTGTATGTATATGGCGAATCCAAGTTTATTGCTTCGATCTTTTTCAATTGAAATTCAAAAAATGTGAAAACCATTATCTTGATATTTTCAAGCAGATTCGAATTAAGTTTTCCCCGGGGAACCTTTCTAGGAAATAGCGGTGTTATTTATGAACATTACTAGTAAACACGTGCGTATTTTTAGGCATTTCGGCAGAATCATATGGAGAAGTCATTTTTAAACTCACAACTATATTAAGAGGTACAAATCGGCTAGGATACGACTGGGGCTAGTGCAATATACGTAGATTAAGGAAACATTTTAGCGTGTCAAACCCCTTTCTCTATACTCCTCCTTTTTAATCTAATAGGAAATAAAAACTAATTGCGCAAATATATACAAAATTAATTATGATTTTCTTGGATATTGAGAAATTACGATCTCTAAAGGCCAGATCGACCCAGAAACTTCACCCAAAGATCAGTGCTGTAACACGCCTCTGAACACTAGCCAACAAGGCGAACTCAGATCAAATTCAGAGCCATACCATTCAGAAAAGTTACCCAAAAATGTGTTGATAATATTGTACTACTTCGACAGCTTCAGACCAAAAAGGAAGGGTCGTAGCTGAGCAAGTATATTCAGCCAGCTACATTATTCAAATCTTAGTTTTCGCCCGATGCGTGGTGGTTGAACTCCGATGAAGGCATTCACAGGGTTATTGCCCCTTGTTCGTAAATGGACAGTGCCGCATTCCTATACTATAATATCGACCAGCTGAATCCGAATCTGTAGTCCATTTGCCATTTTTCGGTTTTTCGCAATTTTACTACAAATTTTGAGTGTGCGAGTCAAACGGGCCTCAGATTCGGATTCAGGGGGTCGAAATACATGTCGGTAGGGGGTCACACCCTTTTTTTGTGTGCCGATGTAATTGATAGAAATACCAGATCACAAATAATTCGCAACTCTACATTTAATCGTTATGGCTTAAAAATAAAAGACTTGCAGCAAAAAAAACATTGATAAAATCTTACACGTCTGCAGTATCAATTTAAACGAAAATGTTTGCTTATTTTTCAATTCTTTATTTATTACTCAATATAAATAAGTAACCTAAAATCTAAATGTAAATATTAAAATGCTGTCTTTAGTTGTTCCTCCTTGCTGATATACCTGCAAGTAGAAAGATAAGCTATTTTTAATAAAAACAATTGAAAAATTGATAAATAAATTATAAATAAAACAACCATCAGTATAATCATTATCATCAAAATAAAATTATGTCGGGAAAAGAAGACAAATTTGTTAGATATATCATCATTAAAGTTTTCTTGGAAAATTATACTTTTTCGTTTTTGGGTTTAAGATAATCAGGCAGGTTCTGCAATTTATTTCCGAGTGAATTCCAACCCTTGCAAATTTGAATTCAAGCGAGTTAGATTGAAATTCAATCCAAGTGATGGCAGAACTTGCCTGAATATAATTACAAAGTTATAGTTCATTTCCACCAAGCCTTAGCTGCAGTTTATGCAACTCTTATCTATCGCCAATTCCATGTGAATCAATTTTTCAAAAGATTTTACAAGCAAAACAAAAACAAATTGGGGAAAAATTGTTCACACGGAGTTCCCGATAAGGCCGATTAAGTACACGCAAATGAAGGGTAAAAAGCAAAAAGTACGAAATAAAACTTGGCGATCACCCAAGGTTAAAGTTGTTGGAACTTACTTGAGCACTTAACTGCAGCAAAGCTTTTGGTGAAAATGGGCTATGAAAACTTAGTCCGAAAATTAAAATTTCTTAAACTTCTGTATACTCGCATCGAAAAGCATATTTTTAAATATATGCACATACATATATAATGTGCATATGGATATATCTTACCTTTTAATATAATGCATTTGATAAATATCCTAACTTAACCCCCCTAACAGCGTAGCTCTTTAGTTGCACGATATAACTACGTAATGTCGCTGTTGTTAATATACCTGCAATGAATGTATATACAAGTTATAAGAATATGGAGGCTTTAAAATCAAGAATTGAAAGTAATAATAAGATATCAGAATAATTTATAGTCAACAACATAAAGTTATGTCGGGAAAAGAAGACAAATATATAAAATAAATCATCATTTGAAAAACCTAGGAAAGAATCTAACAAATGCTCTCAATGTGTTGGGATTAGTAGTGCTTTTAAGCTCTTATTATGGAACCGAACAATCAATTCGGATGAGTTGTCAATCGTACATGAGTTGTATCCATCACAATTAGCATTACAATGGGTCCGACTATCGATACAGATGGCAACTGGCAACTGCAGTTCCTACCATGATAAAAATATTTTTATTATGGTTGCTACAAAGTAAGTGCTGGTCGGCATTACAATCTACTGAAATTTAGATATAAAAGAGGCTGATGCTTTGTATTTTGACGTTTTGGAATGCACCCAGTGTGTATTCGGGCAACTGCATTTTTGTTGTTGCTGGGAAGGCTTCTGAAGCGTATTTAGGAGCGAAAATTTAAAAGTATGTCAAATATTTTAGTTTTTAATAGTTTGAAAGATAAACATTTTACAATGTAGTTCGCATTTACAGAATATTCAGAAACCAATCTTGAAATTTTAGTTCCCGTGAAGTACGCGCTTTTGATGTAACAAAAGCGAACACTGATTGATAATTTGTTCCTCTATCAACTGAAGCACCGCTTTCAAAACAAAACGACATACCAAATTGAAGACATTGCCGTGGACTTTCTTTTGCGAAAAATCGAAAAGCAGCACAAGCTTTAAGGAGCGGATGTATTGAGTTGAACAAAGTCGTTCCTCTTTGTATTAACCATAATGCTACAACTTCTTTTGGAAGCCGCAGCCTTCGTCTCGAATAGAAATTTTCATTAATTTATTACCACCATCAAGACTTACCTGCTGCTTTTAGAATCGCTCATGCGCAGTGCGACGTAATGCTGCTGATGATGAATGAATGTTACTGCACAAAGGATTTTTTACCTTTTACGGAAATTTGTTTTAAATTCTGTTTTCGCAAACTTTAAATGAAACAGCAATAAATTAGGATGCACTTAATGAGGCGCAGTACTACAAAATATTAACTTTATTTACCAAAGTAAGCTACATTATTTACAAGTTATTTTCAATTAAAATACAATATTTATTTTTTCTTATAAAGAAAATGCTGTAATGGCAAGTAACTTTTTTAATAATTAACACGTTCGCTGCCACCATAGAAAAGCAAAAAGATTTACTGTGGTGACATCAACATTTATTTTAAAGTCAGCTTTACTAAGTAGTTATATATTTAGTTTGTTTTTTTTGTTCACGTTTTTTTTTTTACATTTTTAAAGAGTGTGACTAACTGCTTTGTTTTCAATCATTTTATGTTTTTACATACTTAAAATTGTTTTGAATCTAAAAAATCAATAAAACAGCAAATATCCATATAATTTTCCTATAACCAAGAAGTGACTTATCTATATGGCCAGACAGCAAAAAATCTTTCACTAACAAACCTCCATACAAAATAATAATATGTGACCACTGGTGGGGCCCCGTGGCATTTAATGAAAGATGTGTGTAACCCACCGGTAGGTAACAGAGCAAAGCGAACGTGTTAAAAGTGCACGCAACATTCATTCCATTCATCCGACACAACTCGCATCTGCACAGCTGGCTGCTTCATGTACATATGTGCTTGCTTGCCACCGCCTTCAAATGACATTACCTGCAAATGAAAAAAGGAAACTTTAATTAATATTACCATACCTTAATAAATACTGAAATGGTGAATGAGATAATTTAGAAAAAGAAAATGATCAGTAATTGGAAATGTTGAAATCAAAATAAATTCATAAACACGGACCAATTAATTTCATCACCAAAGTGTTAACAAAATTTAAAATTAAAATACAAATAAAACTTACAAAATGTAAAAACTCATTATTGCAGCTCGCGATGCTGGAGTGGTAAATATCACTAGAATAGAAATGAAAAAGATCTAATTATAATAAAGTACTGGTGACAAAAAGTGTTTTTTATTTATAAATCGAAACAATTCAATGCTACATATATAAAAAATCAAAAATCGAAACAAGACTAATCTTTCCAAAAGGCTTGCAGGGTGTTTTTAAATCTCGTATATCTCCAAAAGAATTACGATGTGCATGTACATTTAAAAGCAAACTTACGGAAAATCAAAAAAAAAAA